ATCCCTAACGTTCTGTGATTCTGTGTTTTTGAGAAACTGGAAACATTTTCCTGATGAAATTACGTTTGGAAAATATTTGCTTAAAAGTTGTCATGTATGTGGACTTTTGGATCATTCTTCCCTGCTGTTCGTTCCTTTCTGCATCCCCCAGCCCAGAGCACTACAGCATTATACCCTAGCTCATTTTGTGTTTTGGTTAAGAAAACTGCTACTGTTAGAGATCAATGACTTGAAATATATGAACAGGAGAAGATGTGTTAATCCTTTAATTTTTCTAAATGTGTATCTCACTTTCTGACCCTCATCAATCTTAAATGACAAAATAGTTAAAAAGATTAATTTTTCAAAGTGCAAACAAAAGGAGTAATGTGAGAATTGTTTCCATCCTTGTGAATCTCTTATTGTATACCTCCCTAATAGATTCAGCTGCTGTCTCTTATGCCATATTCAGAAGTAGGCAGTGTTGTAACTATTCGGCTATTCCAGCTGCTGCTCTTGTCAGCATGCAGAGATTTTAAGGTTTCTTATTATCGCAGTAGATGAAGGAATTGAGATGAGCTGTGTGGTATTAGTGAAGGAAATGGGGCACCCAGGACATAAACCCACTGTTAGTGCTCTGTTGCAGCATGTAGAAATGGACTATAGGCTGCCTCCTATCTCACAAGCACTTGTTGGGAAGTGCAGGTCTTTAACATAACAGCAGTAAGATGAATAATGTTAAAGACAATAAATAATTCTGGGTTCATTTGAATTACATACACTTTACTGTAACAGTGCTTTAGGTGTTTTTATGACACTGCTTCCAGAAATGTGGATATTGGGCAAAGTTAGCATGAAACGAAAGGTCATTTTAAAATGTAACCTCCAAGTTATCACATGTCTTGGCCTCATAAAGGAAAAAATAATTATTTTGTCTTACATTTTCCTTTTTGAGAAAGGCATTTGTTCTGGTTAATCTAAATGATGCTGTAAACTCAAACTCAGGCTATGCTGTAATAAGCAGACTTGTGCCTGTACATAGTTCACTTGTGAAGTCATCCATGATTGTTTTCTTCTACCTCAGTGTTTACTTGTTATGAAGCGTCAGATCACCCAATCTGATAAAAACCAGTGGAGATTTGAAATGATCAAGTGGAATAGTGTAATGGTTCTGTTGACTGAAACTGCAGACCTGTATCAGAAAAGGGCACCATATTTGTCTAGAAATAAACTAACAGAAGTTTCTCTTTGGCTTGCTTGATACTTTTTTTGCAGCTGCAATAACTTTCAAATATAGTTTGAGTAATAGTGAACATCAGGTTTTAACAGTTAGAATGCTAGTATTTTAATAGTTTCTCATAACCAGTGAAGAAGACTAATCTTTGACAGTTTCTCTTTTTAAAACAGGTTCTAACATTGTGTAATATATATGTAGTAAACAGGTACACAGAAGCGTAATGGATCCATGCTCTAGTTCTGATATGGAAGGAACACTTAGCATTTACATTGTTCTAGTATATGTTTCTTAATGAGAGTTGCAGAGAATATAAATAATTTTATGTCATCTCCCAGGTACTACTGTTTTATTTATTAATTGTCTCCGTTGTTGACAGTTTTTCTTCTTGCATGATGTTGTTACCAGTTGTGATTGCTGGTTATAAATAATGGTGAAAGATCATGGGAGCTAGTAGGCAGAGCAGGAAATTGTTCAAGGCATGGAGCCTACTTTGCATATACCAGAAGTCTGTGTTCAGCTGTTCTCACTGAACAGGTCTACAGTCCCACTGACCCTTTCCAGTCTTTCTTCTTGTGATGTACACACACAGTGTGGCCTGCTGCCATGACAGAGTTAACTTTCCTTTGTATTACAGAGCAAGAAGATACTAAGACCATTGGTATTCAGTTTTGTTAAGCTGACATCCTCTGAAGGTCATATCTAGATTAGTCTGGTACTACAGCATTAATATCAAGTGTTTTGCTTCAAGGCATTTTAAAATATGTCATGGTTCATACGTCAGCAGTTGTCAGTGACGTAGACCTAACACCAGGTTGCCGGCTATCCTATTTTAAAAGACCAAGATTAGGAGCCTCTATGTTTTTACCATGCTGGACTGATGAACTGCATTGATGAACTCAGTTATACAAATATTAACTAGCACAGCAGACTTTTGTTTCTTTTTGGCTCTTAATATTTCCTTCTTTCCTTTTGAAGTGGTGGGATCGGTTTGCACTTGCTTGATTTACTTCTTGCTCTGTGTCCTCTGTACACTAACAGAGGTATTTTCTGTTCAGTATTTTGCTTCCTTCGTATAACATGCAGCAGGACAAAAGGACCCAAATTAAAAACTATGAACTCTGAGTGTCACATGCAGTGGCCTGTGCTTTAGCTGCTCTACGCTGATCTTAGTTCCAAGTTTAACACTTACTGTAATGACTAATCTTTTTCTGTTTGTTAAATAGCAGATGGATTTAGCACTCTTTCTTCCCTTTTCAGCTACTATGTGAGAAAACAAATCAGTTCTTTGGAATTTGGCTGTGTGCATGTGTACATTCTGGCAAGCTTACTTCTCATTATTGCTGCAAGACTTTAACTAGCTTCTGAGTTGAAACATCTTATTTAGGAACTAGAAACTAATGAGTTCTTGTTGGGCAGCAGGTATTTGTGCTTTTTGTGGTAGCTTTAGGATATCTTTGGGGGGAAGCTTCTGAAAATGAAAGGTAGACAGACCCACTTGAATGTGGTTTCTGCATTGCCACCAGTGCTCTGCAAGGACTGCACTGTCCCAGAGTTAAGAAGAAGGGAAGGAATGAGATAAGACCAGATTCTATTGTGCTTTACGTGTGTATGTATTGACTTGGAATATGAACTTCCCTTTTGCAGAGCTGCTGTCCTAGTAGGTTAGTTCTGCTTTCTCATTTTGTCTTGTCTTACAGATACATTTTAGTCTGAGAAGGGTAGGCTTATTTCTGACCTGATTCTATGCTGAAAGCTTAAAAAAGTCAGTCACCACTGAAGCATGATATATGAACTAATGCTGCACATATTTTGTTTCTAGATTTCTCCCCAAACTTTACACAGGGAATATTAACTCAGTTAATTTTTCTTTAAATAAAATGGATGGAGATTGAGAGCCACAGGGAGAGTACATGTCCATCAAGATTAAAGTGGCATGTAGTAGAGCTATATTTGTTTTCACAAACATTTGACTAGTATAATTGTTTACATGGATAAGCAATTTTATGAAAACATTTTACTGCACTGTATTTCATTGCTGTTATTGGATATGAGGTACAGCTATAAATATTGCGGAAAATGTAAAAAGTTGTGTGAAAAATACTGCCATGTTTCAAAAGTAGGGAGCAGCAATGCTTTGGACTCTGTTAAATCAATTTCTCTCTCTCTCTCTGTTTCTCCTACCCTTTCTTGTCTTAGGTGCATTTTACCTGGTATTTGAATACATGGACCATGACTTGATGGGACTGCTGGAATCTGGTTTGGTTCATTTTAATGAAAATCATATTAAATCATTTATGAGACAGCTGATGGAGGGCTTGGCCTATTGCCATAAGAAGAACTTTTTGCACAGGGATATCAAATGTTCCAATATTCTACTAAATAATAGGTATGGCTATTACTTGAAGTATGTAAAAAATTTTGTTAACAACATCTTTAAATCTTTCTTTTAATCTTCATGGTTCACCTCCTTTAAGTCATTAGCAAAACTTTTTTTTAGATTGCCTATGTTTCTTTACCAGATTAGTATTTTACAATTGATTTTAATGTTACTACTTTAACACTGGATCCTGCAATTGTTTGTTAACCTTACCTGTGTTAAGACAGCAGGATTAAAACTTGAAGCTTTTAAGTCAGAGTATGGGAGAAAGGGGATTTTAGGAAATAAATGCTTGATGTGTATTCTTAGTGCCATCTAATTTCAAAATGAAGTGTGTCTAGGCTGATTCTTCATGGCATAATTCTAAGGTGCTTGTCTTCATCAGTCAGGATAATGCTTTAAGAGAATATTTGATCAGGGATGTTCAAACATGCTTTGGCTTGCAGTTACAGCCATAATCAAATGGGGAGAAGAATTGCTTCTTGCTTGTAATTACAAATTATATTAGTAAACATGCTTAATTGTTCGGTGTGCAACAGCAGCAAACTTGCCCTAATTTGATAAAGGAGAATTTGGAAATGACACACATTTGCATGTAGTTGAAAGTGGTGGGAGTTTTTAAAACTGGTAAGGACAAAAGAACAAAAATATCATGCAAGGTTCCTACATTCATTTACTGTATTAGAGAAGCTTGCATATAGCTTTCTGTTTAAATTCTCCAGACTTTACAGATGGTGAGTGAGGGCTTCTGGTCACTGAGCAGTGCCTTTCAGATGTAGAAACTGCCAGGCAAGAGCTCTGTGTCTTCTACACTTCCCCTCACATACAGGAAAACTGAGGAAGGGGTTATGGGTTATGCCATTCAGCAGGTTTTCCCATCTGGCAAAAACAGAAGCCCTTATCTGGTCGGTCACCATGATTTTAAGACTGTATTTAAACTTTACAAGAGCAGAACAGGACTTTGAGGGCTTCCTAGAAGGAAGTATGACTGCTGATAGTTGTTTGTTGTACAAATGCTTATGATAGCAGTAAAGCATGAGAAAATAGCAGCTTACTCCCTCTGTTTTTTTTTTCCTGCAGAGTTACTGATATGAGTACTTTACACCTAAATTTTGGCTGCCATCTGGTGATGTAAATGCCATTTGATGAGGATACCTAATTTTGCTTACTTGTCTTTGCTGTTCAGTAAGCTAGTCTATTTGTTTGATGAAGAGATGCATAGATTGTAAGGCATTGCCTCGTTAATGTGGTTTGATGAAGATCAGTTGCAGCTGTCTCAAAATCTCAAGTTCACCTGATTTTTGGTGAGGAAATCTAACAGGATTAACCTCTAAATAATTTGCTTTTTCCACCAGAGGGCAGATAAAGCTTGCTGATTTTGGACTTGCTCGGCTGTACAACTCTGAAGAAAGGTAAGATATAATTATACTGTGAGAAGGCATCAAGAGGTTTAATCCTTTTGCAAAATCTGAGTATTATGAGGGCTGGAACACTGTTTTGTTTAGAGTTGTTGTTATTGTACTGTAATACAAGTAATTGCTTAGGAAATGGAAAGAACCATATGTTGTCTTGCATTGCATAAAACCAGACAAAACTCTCTTTGTGCAAGTGTATTGCTTTTCCAAGTGTTCTGGATAAATAACTGTAGAGAGTGGCCGAATATTGATTGGAATTGAAGAGTTGTAGTCCTAAGCAGGTTGCATCAATATTTGTACTATTGGTTTCTGGTCCTGTTAACATAAGGTATATTCTTTCTGTTGGTAAACCTAGGAAAAGTTTAATTAGGGAAAGCATTTTTTTTTCTGATAAAAATTAGCATACATTTTCTTTTCTGAAAACATTACTTTTTTGTAAAATTTAACCTTTACATTTGAAGAGGTTCATTGTATTCTTTAGGCAGTCAGTGCTGTTGAATCTGCTGGAAACAGAGATACAAGTTTAAATAAAAGTTATTCTGAAACTGCTTGCAGCTTGTTCTTCTGTTCTTGGCTTCATTATGCCTATACTCCAGGAAAGAGCTGCACAGTTCTTATGATTAAGAACTTCAGTATCTATGATGTAATGTCATGTGGAACTGGATTTTCAGAACTCGGGCTGAATGGTCATTACACTAGTAGGTACGCTGGGTGGTTAGATACACAGAATATTAGCCACCTGAGCTTGCTTCTATTTCTGCGTGTCTGATTTGGGACATAACAACCATAATGCTAGCTTTATGAGCTCACTCTTTTCTCTCAGAGCTCTGAGCTTGTTGCTGAAGCCAGTAGCATTAGTTTCACTTTTACTTAAGGAACATGTGCTTAAGCATAGTTGTGAAAACTGTTGAGTATGGTAGCAGGGTAAGAGAATCTTGAGCAGCTGCTGGGTAGTTAATTTTTGGTTTAGATGTACTGATAATAAATGGGATGGATGCCATCCTACCTTCTTATTTTAACATGCACTGATTTTTTTCATGAGGTTTTCTTCAGTGCCTATTTTTACATTAAATTAAATTTTGCTTGTAAAACTTTATTAAGAATTGAACAGTTGGAAGTTAGGTGTCTTTATAGTGCAAATAACAGATTTTACTATACACCAAACAGTAACATTATTACCCCATTATACATAAATGAGACTTAAGATTAAAATCTAATGATAGCTAATAGAACCTCATTAATAGATTTTTGGCAATTCTTTTGTTGCTCAGTTTCCTTCTGAGTATCTGCAGTAACAGACATCATTAATGTATACCAACAAGTGTATAATAGCTGCTGTTTTAAATTAATGTCTTTTACGTTTGTTTTACTGTTGTTTAGAATGATACGCATTTCAAAAGGGTGCAGAATTTAATAGGAGCATCATGGGGAGGAAATGAAAATTTTAAGTAAAGTACCATCAGTTGCTGTAGTTGTGCTCCTTTAAATGTTATTCTGTTGGATTTAATGTGTTTGGAGTAGGAGATATGGCAGATTTTGTAAGAAAACATATGTTCAATTAAAAAGCACAATATACTTATATGTGAGTGGTGCATCCGTAGAGAAAGTCCATACAGTGTAAATGGTATTTCGTAGAGGAATGCTTGCTTCAGAGATAAATATGATAAATGATGGGATTGTTTAAAAAAAGTATTGCATTTTAAAAATTAATTGGGGAGTTTCTTAATGGAAAAGAAGCCTCAGGTAATTTTGCAGAAATGATAACTGTACCACTGAGTATATTACAAGAGCTCCACGAACTCCGCATTTAATGTTACTCTTCTTTCTATTTGAAAGAGTGAATTATTAAAACTGAAAGAATTTTGGGACACCTGGTTGAAACAAAAAACAAACCTAACATCTGTTTTCTGCCTTCCATTCTGAACTGTTGATGCTGTTTCTCAGTCTGTAAGACAGTGGCAATCCATTCCTTAGTGTGAGGGTGGGAAGGATTCTTCCCAGTGAGCAAAACCTCTGGTTAGAGCTGTAGAGAATTAAAGATGTTGTGAAATATTGGAAGGTATTGGAAGCATTCCAGGCTTTGGAATCAAAATTATTGAAGTATGTAGTTCAAGAAAAAGGCTTTGTCTCTTTTGCTCCTACTTACAGTGGAGAAAGGGACTTTTTTCCTTCTTCTCAAAATGCTTGTGGAGGTTCTGTATTTGGTGTTCTAATGGTCAGTTCTTTGCCCAGAAATTACTGGTTTTATCCAAGCGGATCTCTCTCCTGAAATGACTAGCGATGCAATAAATATACAGTATTGCTTTCTGAATAGTAATTGACATACAGGATTCATATAGCTGAATTCACATGGCTGTGTGATTATTATTTATAACTTCAGTGTGTCCTTTGATAGCATTGGTCTGATGGCTGTGTTTGCTTTTGTGCAGTCACAGCTTTGCAGGACTAAAATTAGGAAAAAGGTGTGGAAGGTTGTACTATTCTTAAACAGCACCATGGAAATAAAGTCCTCAAAGTATCACTTTTTCAGAAATGAGATTGTAGTAAAATGATAGTCCTCTCTTTTTGCTCCTCCCAACAGCCGACCATATACCAACAAAGTTATTACGTTATGGTATCGGCCTCCTGAACTTCTGCTTGGAGAAGAAAGATATACGCCAGCTATCGATGTCTGGAGCTGTGGGTAAGAGTTTGGTACAGAAGCGTAACAAGCATTAAAAACAAGCAAAAATAAACGTTTTTATTTATCTGTATTGAAAGCCATAATGATGGAATTGTGCAAAACTGTTTTACAGCTGCATCTTGGGTGAACTTTTTACAAAAAAGCCAATATTTCAAGCAAATCAAGAACTTGCTCAACTGGAACTTATAAGGTAACTTGCAAGCATTACCTCATAGTAGGTGCCTCGTAAACTGTTGGGTTTCTTTTGTTAGCCTTAAATTCAGAGGTAGTGCACTGTGAACATTTGCAAGTACTTAGTTATTGCCCTGAGTGAGATATTAGAGGTTTTGAGGGGCATGTAAAACAAGTGACTTTTGCTTGTACATGGTGAAGGTTTTTCTGTGAGTATGCTATGGTCCTGGCAATGTGCAGTTGAATAGTAAGAGAGTTTTTTGTAGAGGAGCTGGAGTTGCCTATTACTGAAGTTTTACAGAGAGAGTAGTCAAAATGCCTCTTATTTTTTAAGATGATGTTACAACTTCCTTGCAGCAAACCAAAATGAAAACACAGACAATAATAAGGACAAGTAGGATTTGGGAGGGATAGGTACTTGGCATGCTGCTGACCTTGAGTTCCTGTTTCAAATCTTCCACATACCCACCTGGGCTTTATTAATTTTGTGAGAATATTTCTTTTCCCTTACAAACTGCCAGATGCTTTATGGGGGTAAAAATTCTGTTCCTTGTCTCAATAAATAATAGAATATGTATATAACTCAGTGGAACCAGATCATCTTCCCCCCCCCCTTTATTCAGCAAGCAAACATTGCTCTTGATTCTGATACCATAACTGACCTTGTGAGGTCTGTTGAGGTTCTGTTCCTAGAAGTAAAGGGAAAAGAGAGTGAGTCCTACAGAACTTACAGAACCTGAACAGAAATTGGTCAATGCTATTTTAAAAATTAATAAAAAATATTACAAAGTTATATATTGAGATGTTTTTTCAAAACAGATTAAACAGTAGTGTGGTTCTGTGTAATGTGTTATTAGCTGGCCTGGAAAAATGAAGTTTTTAGGAGGTGTACAGCATATCATTGGTCATTCTCAGTGTAAGAACTAAACTTGTGAGTTGGTAAATTTTTGCTTTTGACACTAAACGGCATTTGAAGCATGTCACTGTACAGTCTGTACACTGTACTTCACTACAGAAGTTTTTTCTCTCCTGTAATGTACATGTGGTAGAGCAAACTAAAATTTTGTGATTTTCTTCTTCTGCTGGAAGCTCCTGTTTGTAGATAATTTTTCCGCTTCACTGAAGCTATGCATTTTTTTCCTGTTTAAATGTAATATATCAGTTTTAGCGACATCACTACCCACAGTATGTTACAGTCAGCAATTCTGTTTGTCCTTTCTAGCTTTAATGTTCAAAGATACAGCTGAAGTAAATTCTGACAGGAAAAGAGAAATTTCTTATTTTTATTTTCCCTCCTGAAAGTTGCATACCCCTCACATTGGTTTGCATAGCATTTGGCGCATAACTAGTAGATCATTAAGTCTCTTAGAGTAGCCATTTAATAAGCAGGAGGGGTGAGCTATGAAAATGTATTTACAAAATGTCCTTTTATGACTGCCTGCATCAGAGCTTTGAAACCTTGCATGTGCAGTAAAATGCCTCTTTATTTCTTCTGCTTGAAAGTATGGTGTTGGTCAGCCTGTGCTTAGTCATCCTCGGATGTACAAAATGGGTGGGGATGAAGGGGAAGGAATAACACTGTGGGCAGCTGCGTTTGTGGAGATAGTTGTGGCTTGTGACATAACAGTAATAACTGAAATAAAAAATATACAGGTTTTCTAGTGGTTGGATCATACTTCTGCCTTCGGCCTTACTGAGATTCCCCCCTGCCCCCCTCCCTCCTTATTTCTTCAGCGTCAACTGAATTCTCAGTGAAAAGTGCTTTTTCAGGCTTTTGTTTATCTTTCTTCATTATCCTGAGCAGCTAAGGACAGAGAAGTTAATGAACATTCTAAACCTGGGCTATCCAGTTCTCCAAGTCAAATACCTGGAGTACTGTCCAGACATAATTGGATAAGTTTTTCAAAACATTTGTGTGGAGGATGCCTGCGGTGGGGTGGGGCAAAAACAGTGGGCTTCTTAAAGCAGGTTTAGTCTGTGCAGGATGATTACCTTTCATAGACAGTTCACCATTATTTAATGGTATTGGGGATTAGACAGTAGAGAAATTAGCTAGAAGAATCTAAATATTAAAATTGTGTTTTTGTATTCACTGTACGTGCAAGAATAAAATGACAGCTGTGCTCACTTGTGGTTTTGGTTCTCATACCCTGTTTTTTTTCTCCTTCTTTTTGGTACAGCCGAATTTGCGGGAGTCCTTGTCCAGCAGTGTGGCCTGATGTTATAAAATTAGCTTATTTCAACACAATGAAACCAAAGAAGCAGTATCGTCGAAAACTGAGAGAAGAGTTTGCTTTGTAAGGATGAAGAATTAGTGTAGTCAGCTGTAATAGTGTTAAGTTTTCCTGGAGACTTTATGAATATCACTGTTTTCTGGAGAATGAACACAGATTAAGAGTAAAGAAGAATGGCTTTAGGTTCTTATCCTTCCCATGATGCCCACAGAGCTTGTATTAACTCTTACTTGATAGGAACTTCAAGAAGAGGCCCTAAAATTTCAGCTACCTGTCAGCTTTTTCACCTTTCTCTGATTGTTGTCCCTGTCCAAAAAGCATCTCAGCTCGGAGTACTGAATTGGTTTGTGTTAGGGCAGCTGGCTACAGCTAAATATGTAGTCTGGTTGGGTCATAAATTCCTTCAACGTGGAGGAGGTATCTGAATAATGTATTCTAAAGTACTACCATTGGACTAGTTTTGTGCAAATGTCTCATGTGGAAGTTACGGAGAATGGCTGCAAGCTTATTTTAAAGGGTTTGCTCTCCTTCCTGTGAATTTCAGGAGAAATGTGTCATCCTGTTCCTACTAATGAGACTTAAATCTGTAAAGCAATAGAATTATTTTCCATAGGCCAATCAAAACTGCAACATTCCAAAGTGCAAAGTGACAATACAGTCCTGGCTGAAAAGGGTGGTTTGGTGGTGTTTGGTTGGTTTGTTTTTTATTGGTGTTTTTTTTGTTTCTATAACCCAAGCTTTCTTTGCTTTGTGTGGTTTAATTGTAAGGACAAGGTTTCAAGCAATTTAGCCACACAAAGCAAAGAAAGCTTGGGTTATACGCTTGCACAGGTAATAAAAGATGAAGTTTCTCTCTGCCTCTTACTACCAAGCTCAATTTGTGAGTGGGTTTTGTTAGGATGGAAGTTATCTGAGGACTAAATGGTCAGTTATTTTGGAAAGGGTGTATGTATTAAAATTCTGCACAGAAGTGTGTGATTCAAAATAAAAATGTGATTCTTTGTTTTGCTGTTTCGTAGCATCCCATCAGCTGCATTAGATTTATTCGATTATATGCTTGCTCTGGATCCCAGCAAGCGCTGCACAGCTGAACAAGCTCTTCAGTGCGAATTTCTGCGAGATGTGGAACCATCTAAAATGCCTCCTCCAGAGTAAGTAATTTCCTTTGGTAATTATTTGTACCTCTATGAAATGTGAACGTGCACTGATTTCATTAAGCTCACTTTGTTTCAGTTAAAGTAGATGATGGCAGAACAAAAATGTTGATACATACAGTTGTTTATTGGTGATTCTGCACTAAAATGGTTGACTCCTACACCGTGATAGCAGTGGTTGTGAGGATCTGAGCACTGTTTTGTTTATTAGTCCTAGAACTAGTGGCTGAGTTAGTACCTTTAAAATAATTACCCTTATACGAATGTTTCTCATGTTGAAACCTCATCGTTTCCCTTTTATCTCTGTTTATTAGGATCTACTTTTTCTAAGGGTTTTGAGGTCCTCCATGAATCTGAATTGCTGCCTTTGATGGTAGAATGACACTGGGTATAGAATTGTGCAAAAGTACTTGAAAGTTAAAGTGAAACGCCATAGTTTCCTGTGCCAGATGAGATTCTTGGTTTTACAGGCAGGAGAAGTGGAATACTTTGTGCAGGTTTTTCCTGATGGTTTCTCTGAGAAGAAGCCTTTTGTCCAGTAGGGTTTTTGCAGTGACTTGTCATTTTAATCAGGACAAATCATATTGGAACAGGCCCTGAGGAAAACAATGAAAAGATATTACTGACTCCTCAGGTTTCATTCTTACCTCATGGTAGCTGTCAGAACGTAGAACATTTCATATTATTTGAGTAAACTGTACCTTCAAGGCAGCCTATACTGACTTCTTAGTTACCAACTGGGAAAAAATGTTATAATTCTATTAAAAAATCTTTCAAGCCTTACCTGTTACATACACACAGTTGTTAGTAATGCTTCTGATACATGAGGCTAAGTTGTTTCCTTGCCTGAATATGTCTGTATCTATCACTGAGTATCAGTCATCAGCAATCTTAAGCTATTCACTAAAACCTCAGAATGACGTGTACAGCATGTTGCTTCTATGCATTCTGAAGTAAGTGAATGGGAAGAAATTTGGCTTTTTTCAGGGGCTTTAGTAGTGCATCCATTCTGGAAGCTGATATGTAGAATTGCAGAACAAACTACTCATTGGTGTCCTTTTAAAAATTAAGAGGAACCGCGAACCGCTC